TGGAGGAGAGGCAAAGTAGTGTCAGTGCAATTAAAAATGTGAGACGAGAATTTCAACACAGAATACTTTGCATGCAAACGGCTGAAATACTTCTCTTACTACAGCTTTCTTGCTTGTCATCTAGACTTCTGTTTATGTGAACCGTTCCTAACTAAAGTTTGGAAGGACACTTTCATCACACAGTAATGTTGGCCAATGAGAGAGATTTATATATTTGTGCTAATCTGCCCCTTTTTGGCTTTACTTTTTATTTTTACATGTTAATTTAAATGTGAAATATGTCACTATTTTACATTTCTACTTTGTTTTCTGAAATAATTTCTTGCTGCCTATTCAATAATGTTTTTCTGTGCAGACACCATATAGAAATACTAATTTGGGAATATATTTGGTTTTTATATTTTGTTCTAATTTTATATACATAAAATACATGTCACACCACATGGAGTGGGAGGCAAGGAAAAGAGAAACATGCAGAAAACAAATTCAAATAAAGATGAGAAGAAAACCACCTGACAATCCCACACATTTGTAGAAAAGTTTGCCTGGTTCCCCTTTGGGCCCTATTCTCCAAGTTACTTCTCCAGCTTACTTCTCCGTTTACAACTCATTTTAATAATAAACAGGGTGAAGTCAGTAGCAAAAATTCCCTTTGATTTCAGTGGGGCCAGAATTTTGCTCTCTGGAAAGCCTTAGAAATTAAACCAGGGAAAATTCTTATCTGATATCATGAATTGTAAGAAAGGGCAATTGGAGAAGGAAGGGGATAGAGAGCGTAATGTTTTTTTTAAAAAAATACATGCATGTTTTTATGTGTCGTGAGGTACAACTAAATTACTTACAAAGTTATACAAATAAGCAAGCCTCCTTCCTAAACTCATGGCAGCCTGGTCTCTCTAAAGTATGTTCATATCTGATCTGTGTCTTTGGCCTCCCCCTTTATCGTCTTCCATCCACAATCATTGCAAAGGCCATCCAACCGATGTAACTCTTAGGTCTCTGCTGGACATGCCCATACCAGTGTAGCCTAGCCTCTCTCAACTTGTTTTCAATTGCAGCAACCCTTACTAAGCCCCTCACAACCCTTTCATTTCCTACTGTTTGACCATCTCAACATCTTCATTTCCTGGTGGGGCATACTGGTTCAATTTCTTGTGACTGGCGTTAGATTGTTTCTGTTCCGTACGTTAGATTGTGGTCAATTGCAGTTTTATACACTCAACCTTTCTATTGGCATATTTTTATCAAAGAGAATTGGGGTCTGCTACAACCATTTGTTCCAAAAGTTTTAGTACAGTGCCAGGCATCAGTCAAGAGGGCCACATTATCAGCAACCATTGATCCTAGGTATTTAAATTATTTCAGTCTTCTAAGCTCTCTGTCTGTAATGTTATTTTGGTGGGTCCGCCTCTGTCAGTTATCATAGCCTCAGTCTAAGTCAGGCCTGCTCAAAACTGTGTTCCCACTGTTCAGAGTTGGTTTGCACAATCTCTCAATCTTCCATACATATCAGTAGGTCATCATCAAACAACAAATTTCAAGGTAGCTCTTCATATAGTCTCACTTATCGCCTCCAAGACAGCCACAAATAAAAAAGGACTCAATACTGACCCCTGGTGCAGTACAACATTTACTAGAAATTCTCGCAGTACCCCCATTTGGTTTTCATTACAGTAGTCACTCCATCAAACATATCCTGGATAAGATGGACATATCCTTTTGGCACACACCTCTGTTGCAAACTCCACCAAAGTAATTCTCTTGGTACATGATTGTATGCCTTTTCCAAGTCTACCAAGACCATGTCCAAGTGCTGTCTGTTTTCTCTGAACTTCTCCATGAGGATTCATAGACCAAACATGGCATCAATTATATTCCTTCCCAGCATAAGTCCTTACTAACACTTCCAAATTTCAACTGTTTCATGCAGGCACTTTTCAATAATCTCCCATATTTTCATAGCTTGTGATGTTAGCTTAATTATCGCTCAGTTAACACTCAGTATATTATCTCTTTTATTTTTATTTTTTAAAATGGACACCATAAAGCTTTTACCCCATTCATCCAGTATTTTCTGTCTTTTAAAAATATCATTGAACAGACTTGTAAAATACTTGATGCCTTCTGTTCCTAGTGACTTCAGCGCATCCACCGGTACTTCATCTGATGCAGGTGCCTTTCCCTTTTTTCATTTTTCTTAGAGGAGGAAAAGGTAGTAGAGGCACTATGTAATCTATCACACCCCTTCCTTAGGTTCTCCTTATTGATCACTCAAAATAATCGTCCCAGACTTTGATTGATTCACCATTGTTTGCAATATACCATGTTCATTTTTAATATAAGCAAACCCATTCACATCCTTTTTCGTTTTCTCTCTTGCTTTAGAAAGTTTGTAAATGGCTTTTTCTCCCTCATATCCGCCTAGTCAGTTATTTAGCTCATCACAGGCAAATTTTTAGCTTTCACACTCTTTTTTTTTTTGGCTTCCATACATGCAGTCTTATCACTGCTTATGTCCACTGGCCTGACATCTTTTAAAAGTTACCTTTTTCTTCTCAACAGATTCTTTAACTTAAAGAATCCACCTCCATGTCTCCCTTTGTATTCTTTGCAACATTGGTTTAATCACTCCTAGGACTTCATGTGCCATTTCCAGCAATACTGTTTTTAGTTTGTACCAATTATCATTTTCAGGTCCCCGTGTGTAGTCAGGAAATCTATGCATTACTTCTTGTTTAAAGATTTTTTTTCATTCCCAGCTTTGTTTCCACCACTTAGACCTTTCAGATGTTTCAGAAGGCAGAAACCTCAGAAGTCCATAAGAAGAAGTCTGCTGATTCACAGTGCCCTCATTGGGTATTACCTTACAGTTCTTCTGGTTAAAAAGAGATCAATGTGAGACACTGGCATAAGTCAGAAGAGGGAAAACCACTTCATAAAAGTGTGTTTGTAATCACCATGTCCAGTGCCAGACAAATCTGTAGGACCCCTTGGGGTTTCTGGTTCCTGTGCTATGCCCTCATGAACTGTTTCATATCCAGCCTGTTCTAGTGCTTACATTTACCTCTGCTCTGATAATTATCTTCTCGTTGGGTGATATGTTTCCGATAAGGCACAACAACTCATCAAAAAACTCCTCTTTTACCTTTTGATCCTCTCCTAACTGTGGTGCATACCCATATGGAGAGTTACCTCTTCCCAACTCCGTTTAATACTTATCAGTTGGTCTGATCTTCTGATAAGTTCTGTCGCATGTTTCTGTATGGTTTCATCCAGAATAACTCCAACACCATTTCAGGAGGTTGAACTCCCTGAATAGTAGATTTTGTAACTCTCTGCCAGCATCTGAACTTTAACATTAAGTCTCTTGTACACATGTGTTTACTCTCTTCCTCTTTAAGACCGCATAAAGCTCCAAGCTTTTTCCAGTCAGCATTTCTACATTGCAACTTGCAAATTTCAGCTTACTCCCTTTAACTTTAGCAGCCCTTAGCCAATTACAACAGCCAAGCAAGGCTGTTGCACTGTCCTTGCAGGGAGTGCCCTAACTCTGAGGTACACTTGTCACAGACATCAGTGCTCATGAGCATATCTAATGGACAAGCTTTACAGGTTGGCTGTCCATCGCTGATAACCTAAAATGTAAAGCTTTGACATCAGAGTTTCCCTTCTAAGTGAGCTGCCTACAGAGACTACTGGAGCCCACCTGCTCCAACAAGATTTATTTTATGGTGGTCTTTACTCACCTTGACATCCTCCTCATTGGGCATTTTTTAGAAGTAGCCATGCCACCAGCTACCCCATCATGCACTGATGTTTATTTTCAACCAAATGTCATAATTCTGTATTTGTGACAGCATAATTTGCTGTACACTGAATAATTAATACCTTTTTTTTAACATACCTCAGAGAGATTTTTGGTTCTCCTTTGAAAACTTCCTTTGTTCTACATAGTCATTGTATTCATGTACATTTTTTTTTTTTTTAAGATACTGAACCATATTTGAGGCTCAGGGAATCACATTGGGGATCTCACTCCTTAGGCTAAGTAGGGCTGTATTTCTGAGGCTTCTTCCTTTCTCTATGCTAAATTGCATCTTGTATGGTACCAGCCCCTTTAAACCCAGACTTAAAAGTTGTTAAAAGGCATTGAAGCCTCATAAAAGGTGGTTCATTGTTCCATTTAAATGATCTTTTGGAAAGTGTAAAGATAATATAGAGGAAAACGTATGGACTAATGACAGGAGGAGTTGAGGTGGGTGGGGGAAAAAATGAAGAGCTGGGTAGAAAAACAGCTTCCCCTCTGCATGCACATGCACTCGGATATGTTCAAATTCTGCAAGTGATTATCAAATGCTTGTGAGGAGTTACTTGATAGGCTTAACTTTTTTTGGTTGAGGTGAAGCAGGGATTAGTCAGTCTGGATAATAAAGCAGTCACTGCAAAAATAGAAAGGTGAAAATATTCAGATAAATAATATTGATCAGTTTGCTTCCTTGGACATGGGTAATATAGCTGCCATGAGGTTAGTTCTTATAATTGAAGTCAAATGTTTGGGTCAAGTTTTCTGTTTTATAAAGCACATACGTATATTTGATATTTTCTTTTTGTAAAAATCTTTTTTTAAATGAACCTATTTTCTAAAATGTGCGCTTGATCCTTGCCTGCCAACATTCAGTTACATTTAGTGCTTTTTTCTTCTCAAGCTGGGCCCTCATTTAAACTTACCTCACTTAGATTATTTTTATGCTTTGGCTACATGCATAATAGAAATGAGAATCTTATTGCAAAAGGGAATCTGTATAAATAACTTAGATATCTGTGTAACCTTTATAATTATAGTCTCAAATTACATAATAGGTAGTAGTTTAGTTTATAGTTCAAGTGCACAGGACATACTGATATTTGTACATTTAAAATGGAACAGAAAATAGAAATATGTTAAAAATCCATTTTAGCTGATTGTGAAGTTAACATTTATACTTTACTTTCCTATTTAGATTACTAATATTGGGAAACTGAAGGATTTTCTTCTGCAACACAGAAAGGATTACATTAATGCTTACAGGTAAGTGCGTATTGTGTTTAAATAGTCTCTATGTTTTAAAACTTGATTTTCAAATTTATAAAATGAGCCCATTAAAATTCTGTGAGCACACTGACATGATTTAAAACCAAAAATACAGTTTGCTGACCAGTTTCATACCTGATCATACATCATTCAGGATAAGCAAGACCTGTTGCCTACTACTAAGGCTATGTCTACAAAGCAGCTGAGAGATATACAGGCACTAGCTGCTCAAGCTAGTGCACTAAAAATAGCAGTGTGACCATGACAGTACAGGTAGCAACTCAGGCTAGCTGCCTAAGTATAACATTGCCTACGATCCTAGGTACCTTCTGAGTCGGCTAACTTGAGCCACTGCCCATGCTGTCCCAGCCACACTGCTATTTTAGAACACTAGTTCATGCAGAGCTAGCATGTGTACCTCTACTCGAGCTGGGAATTGCACCTCCCAGTTGTGCTGTGGATATGCCTTAAATGGTCAGTGGAAAGCCTGAGCAGATAGATGATGAATGGCATGAGATAAGGCTTTTCAAACTCTGGGAAGTGAATTCCAGAACTGAGGAACCTCATTGAGAACACCATATTGGAATACCACTAGCTCTGAATTTCTTTGCTTTCTTACATCAAAATTTTGAGGAGTTAATTCTGGGTGCTTGAACTTATGGGGAGAATATATTTGATTTTGTGACAGTAAAAGCATCCTCCCTTAAGTCAGTGTAGGAAACATTTGACATCCTTGAATTTATTTGCTGCCTGAGCACCTAAGGAGCAGGTGTCTTGTCTGTTTCAATCTTCTGTCCGTTTACGAGATTGGAGCTGGTAGGAAAAGCTAAGGAAAAGCACACTTAGGCTATGTCTACACTTTGAGATAGGGGTGTGATTTCCAGCTGGCGTACACATAGTCACACTAGAGCTAGCACAGGTTCAGGTGGTTTTGTACTTGGCATCGCTAAGTTGTGCCACTGCTGACTGTGCTACCACAGCTACGCTACTATTTATACTTGCTCTAGCTCTCATCAAGCTAACACAGGTATGGCAACATGAGCTGGGAATCAGACCTCTTGCTTATAATGTAGATGTAGCCTTACATCTACCATCCCAGCAAACTTAGCACTTTCGGTTTATTCATAGGTCACAGTCTAAGGCTTAAGGTTTTAATATTGGTGCAACCTGAATTTTGGAGTTCTCAATCCAAATAATCTGTAGGAAACATTTAAAAACAGTAAAATGTAATCTTTAGGGACACTTTGTGATACCTGTCAACCTCAATAAGTGTACTGATATATATTTACACACTGTGAACAACATTCCACTTAATGGAAAACTGGTATGGAGAGTGTAGAGGAAAGGTCTCCAGTTTATCAACTCCACCACTGTGAGCAGATGTTTGAAAGTTCAATTTAAAATACTTGATGATTAGTCATATTATTTAGTCTTTCTTTCTGTCTTTCTTTCTTATAAAAATATGCCAATCCAGTGCCCATGGCTCTTGGCACACTCATTGTGAAGACTATAAACAATTTGAACCAATTACCTAAATTCTCCCAGAAGCCTCAAAACTAGCACTTATTCCACCTATCTAATCATTCTTCTCTTCCTCCTTCCTGCCTCCAGTCCACCGAAAAGTCAGAGAGAAAATGAACCTTGCAGCGTAACCTGAAAATCAATAATTCAGTCTTTGGCTAATTGACCAGGGAAGTATATTCAAGTGTGGAATACCCCAGATGGAAATTACCATGCCTCCAACTACTCGCATTTTAAGATGATCTTCTGTGCTGTGGTATCACATGGGGAGAAAGGTGGCCTCTGAGATTACCAGAGCCCTGCCAACAGCTTAAATTTCACCTAAAAGTGAATTGGAAGCCCACGCAGATCATAGAACACCCCTTTAACAAATGGGCCATCAAATTTTGCACCAGGTGACATTTCCAAACTGTCTTAGAGTGTAGCTCTGTATAAAGGATCATGCTAGAATTCATTCTTGAGATGACAAAAGCATATGTGGCAACGCCCATATCTGAAAAAGAAGCATACTGGTCAAGCATAAATAATAAAAACTACTCCTGGCTTCTGCTGCTATACAAACTTCCAGCATCAGCTGGAGAGCCATCAGGATTCTCCAGCTGGGAACTTGAGTAAAAGAATATGGGCAGACTTCCCCAGCTGAGGGCATTGATACCACTCTGTAGTTTCTTGTGGTGTTTTTTTCCAGCCTATCAGCATAACTGGAGTTTTATGTTGCAGCCAGCCCTATCCACTTCCTGATTCTGGCAGGACACTGAGTAAGCTAATCAGTTGCACCAGCCAAGCCAGATGAAATACAGATGTAGAAGTGAATGTCAACTGAATATTGAAGACCTTGAGTCCCAGACCATCTCTCTACCTTTCCCCCAAAGGCCTCACAGATGCATGGAAGTGATGACAAGATAGAACCCCTCCCATTAGAGAATGCTAGAAGTAGATGAGCAATCATCCAGTGCTACCCTTTGGCTCCTCTTGGTAACAAATGAACAGAGCCACTCAATAATGACTCCTTCCAACCCTGTGAGGGTCTGTGGCTGTGTCAGCAATGCCAGTTGATCAATGGTATCAAAAGGTGTCCCACGGTGAATTGCCAAATTACTGAGTGCACTTTTTCTCCACAGATACTGGTAACAAATGTTCTGTGTGCTAAAAAAAGGGAACTAAGGGTTTGATTTTCAGAAGTGCTGAGCATCCTCAACTGTATTCAAGCCAACTGTGAGCTGTGAGTGCTCTGGACTTCTGAAAATCAAGCCCATCTGTATATATTGACATACACCAAAGCCAGACAAAGAGTAACTATATCTCCAAAACAACAAACAAAACCAGTATAAAGATACTTGGTATAAAAAACTCTTGTTTTTGTAATATTGGTTGGAATAGTTAATGAACAACACTAGGTGGTGCTGTAAATTTAATACAAAAAAGGCTGTCTTATTTTGTGAAAGCCACAGTATGAATGGGTACAGTAACAGAATTTCAGTAACTGCAATGGGGGCGGGAAAAAAGCTGTCATAATAATTGGCTGTATATTGACTCTTAAATTATTTGAATATTCTGGATGCACTAACTTTTTGTGTACTGTATTTGGTTTACCTGTCTTGAAAGGGAGATTAAAAGTGAAGTGATGGATGGAGTGAAAAGTAGTCTACTTTCACTTCAGATTTTAAAAATATTGCCGTATGCTTTTTGGAAATGCTCTTTTGTAATCTCTTACAGCAGTAATCCTCAATGTTTCTCCACAGATGCTAGCAGCAATAGAGTCTGTATTTAAAGTGGAAACCTAAAATATACAGTATTGTCAAATGTTTAAAGTAGGTTGCTAAATTGTCATGAGCTCATTATGTTCATGAAAAATAATTTCTAATAGATCTCAGTTTCCCATGAATACATGCCAAGGAGTAGAATAATCTGCTCTCATGACGTAAATGATAATATATCTCAGTGAAAGCATATAAAATTGTAAAAGATCTGGTGTTCTGTAACCAAAAAAATCCATCTGCTTTCCTTCCTAATTTATTGGTTTTGCTTCTCCTAACAGTCATATTATTTTAGTAATGTCTCTATGGGTGCTTCACTTCAGGTGCATATGCACTTCTTGAGCTCTTCATTGGAGAGTTTTCCGTCAGCAGTGCCCGTTCGGCATGCACTGATGCCAGACACCGAATCTATATATGGATGCGCAAGCAAACTGCCTTCAATTCCTTCTCAAGCACCTCAGCCTGAGATAGAGCTCTAGCATGCCCACCTTGAGTGTGCCTCAGCTATTTTGTATACTTGTTGCTTGTTAAGTTGACAAACAGTGGCTATACTGCACACCTTTTAGCGGCACAGCTGTAGCGGCACAGCCGTGTTACTAAAGCTGCGTAGATGTAGCCTTAGTTGTCACTCAGCTTTCCTTTTGATCTTTGTTTTTTAAACTACAGCCACCCTCTGGCTTTACCTTTGTGACACTGCGCCCCCTATTCTTCATATTCATATCATATTGTTATGATACGAATATGGCATAACTAAGATGTGTTCTATGCAAGATGGGACATATGAGGTATCATTGGAAAGGTTATGATTTACTGAATATGATTATCCTATTTGTATGCATGTATCATTTCTGTATCTGTAGTTAGGAATATTGACTATGTAACAATTACAAGTGGGCTTACACTTGGGGAATGCCCACTAGACCGAATGCAATGGATAGGCCATTAGAGAGAACAATAGGACTTCGAAGATGCTAATCTCCCACCTTCCTGAGAAGCTTCCTGGGATGCTGCTTTGACACAGCAGGGTCATCTGATTGTCACCTGGTACTGAACTCCATCTTGAACTACTAGTATTTTTCCACTAATACGAGGTGGGGATCAAACTGGGAAACAAAGGATTCCCGCCATATGTAAATCCTATAAGGCAGGGAAGTGAGTTAATCAAGATTCATTTTTCACTGAATCCCCGCCCAGGATGACTGCTGGAAACATCTAGGAAACAAAGACAAAAGGGGTGAGGGAGACTGAGCCCAGGCTGGAAAAGGTGTCTGGCCTGTGAAAGGAATATCTGGAGTTTTAAGCTGCAAAAAAGAGCAAAACAACATTTAGGGTGAAAAATTATTACTTGTAACCAGTTTCCTTAGTGTATTAAGCTTAGTTTGTGTGTTTGTTTTATTTGCTGGGTAATCTGCTTTGATCTGTTTGCTATCCCTTATAATCACTTAAAGTCTATCGTTTGTAGTTAATAAACTTGTTTTTGTTTTCTCTAAACCAGTTTGTAAAATTTGTAACTGGGGGGCAAAAAGCTGTGCATATCTTCCTCCATGTTGAGGGAGGAGGCAAATTTCAATTAGCTTACACTGTACAGTTCTCTGTGCAGTGCAAGACAATACAATTTTGGCCCCTGTACCCCATCTCTGCAGAGTGTGGGAGGGGGACATGGTTCAGGAGGAGAGCTTTCAGTTAGTTTTTTGACTGGTCTATGCATTTCATAATTTT